GATTAGGTGATCACATGAACCAAATCTTATTTAACAAGGAAAAGTATAAAAACCACTGCTGTGGTCATCACTATCCTCTTGCAATAGGACCAGCTGGATGGCAAAAACAGTGCTAATAGTACCTCAAAAGTAATATTAATCAAAACATAACTATTGACCATGCCAAAAGAGTTGAAAAGGAAAGTTCAATTCTGGCTTTACTTGCAGAGGAATACAGTGAGCGTCAGGTTGCTTCCATCCTTAAAATTTCAAAGACGGCGGTTCATAAGAACAAGGTACAGCAGTAGACCAGGGTTCTTCAATTCCGGTCCTGGAGGGCCGAAACACTTCTGTTTTTTATTTCTACCTGGTAGTTAATTGCACTCACCTGGTGTCCCAGGTCTGAATTAGCCCCTGATTAGAAGGAGAGGATGAAAAACAGAGGTGTTTCGGCCCTCCAGGACCGGAATTGAAGAACCCTGCAGTAGACATTGGGGACAACAAAGCTACAGACCGGCAGAGGGCGAAAACGACTCTCTACTGACTGGGATGACCGCCAACTCATTCGAATGTCACTCAACAACCGTAGGATGACATCAAGTGACCTACAAAAAGAATGGCAAACGGCAGCTGGGGTGAAGTGCACGGCGAGGACGGTTCGAAACAGGCTCCTAGGGGCAGGGCTGAAGTCATGCAAATCTAGAAACAAGCCCTTCATCAATGAGAAGCAAAGAAGAGCCAGGCTGAAGTTTGCAAAAGACCATAAGGATTGGACCGTAGAGGACTGGAGTAAGGTCATCTTCTCTGATGAGTCCAATTTTCAGCTTTGCCCAACACCTGATCGTCTAATGGTTAGACGGAGACCTGGAGAGGCCTACATGCCACAGTGTCTCGCACCCACTGTGAAATTTGGTGGAGGATCAGTGATGATCTGGGGGTGCTTCAGCAAGGCTGGAATCAGGCAGATTTGTCTTTGTGAAGGACGCATGAATCAAGTCACGTACAAGGTTGTCCTGGAAGAAAATGTGCTTCCTTTTGCTCTGACATTGTTCCCCAACTCTGAGGATTGGTTTTTCCAGCAGGAAAATGCGCCATGCCACACAGCCAGGTCAATCAAGGTGTGGATGGAGGACCACCAGATCAAGACCCTGTCATGGCCAGCCCAATCTCCAGACCTGAACCCCATTGAAAACTTCTGGAATGTGATCAAGAGGAAGATGGATGGTCACAAGCCATCAAACAAAGCCGAGCTGCTTGAATTTTTGCGCCAGGAGTGGCATAAAGTCACCCAACATCAATGTGAAAGACTGGTGGAGAGCATGCCAAGACGCATGAAAGCTGTGATTGAAAATCAGGGTTATTCCACCAAATATTGATTTCTGAACTCTTCCTAAGTTAAAACAGTAGTATTTTGTTGTTTAAAAATGAACATGAACTTATTTTCTTTGCATTATTCGAGGTCTGACAACACTGCATATTTTTTGTTATTTTGACCAGTTGTCATTTTCTGCAAATAAATGCTCTAAATGACAATATTTTTATTTGGAATTTGGGAGAAATGTTGTCAGTAGTTTATAGAATAAAACAAAAAAGTTATTTTTACACAAACACATGCCTATAAATAGTAAAACCAGAGAAACTGATAATTTTGCAGTGATCTCTTAATTCTTTCCGCAGCTGTATTTATTAATTGGATAGTTCTCCCATTGAAGCCTACAAATACCTGGGCATTTGGATTGACAAAGACTTAATGTTTAAAAAACACAAGAATGAGCTAGTTAAAAAGCTAAGACTTAAAGTGGGCTTTTTTTTTTTTTAATAGATATTGCCTCCCTAAATAGCAGGAAGCAGATTTTACAGTCAACTTTCCTGCCGGTTCTTGATTATGGTGCACCATTTACCAGATTGCAGCAGCCACTAGTCTTAAATCTTTGGATGCCGTCTACCATAGCGCCATTCGTGTTATCACTGTTGACAGTTTTAATACTCACTACTGCATCCTGTATCAAAAGGTTGGCTGGTCCTCATTAAAGTACCATAGATCAATTAATTACTCCCATTTTGTTTACAAAACCCTACTACACAAGCTTTCAATTTACCTAATTTCGTTCTTAACGTAGCCACAGGATTGGTTCTCTCCACCGAATTAGATAAATCCGGTTTTAGTTTTAATGCACCTCATTGCTGGAAACAACTTCAAAATACACTGCAATTGGACGCTCTGATGCCGCTTGGGCAATTTAAAAAAATTGATTGGGGAACTATTTGCTGAAGAATGTGGCTGTTTTTCTTGATTGTTTGTTGTGCTGTAATATAGTTTGTTTTTGTACTATCTGATTTTGATTTGATTTTGTCTACGAATTGTAGCCAATGTGCAGGGCTCCATTGCGAAAGGGACCCTGGTCTCAATGGTGACTCCCTGTTTAAATAAAGGTAATATATATATATATATATATATATATATTATTATTTTGTCTAATTGATTATTGATGGTCACAGCTTTGTGGAACCAAAACATACACACAGCCTTTGCTCAACGAACTCGAGAACGAATCGTTTGGGGTGCTGCAGTTCGCGAACGATATTGTGTTTATCACCCTCACCGCAGTCAAGCAATGCATTCCGCCAAGAGTCGTTCACAATCTAGTCCGGTTGCAGCCACAATTTCGTTTCAAATGTATCAAGAAATAATCTTATTTGTATGCCTAGCAATCAACAAATGTACATTGTATGAACCACACTTTTGCGAGTCTCAGTCACAAATGATAGCTCCAATAAGCCACTTATGATGAACGACATGTGAACGAGAGGCTTGTAGAATCATGACTCTTTCGAGTTTTCAGTTCATCGTTGGCCGGTAGTTGGTCCTGCGTGCTCTGGCATTACTGACTCAAATGAACGAAACTAGTCGAAAGATTCGTTCTTTTGACTGAACGAGTCGAGAAGATCCGAGTCAGTTAAAAGAGCCGAACTTCCCATCACTACTATAAATTCTAAAATGCACGTGTGCCCACACACACACGCACGCACGTAGGCCTATATGTGCATTAACCGAGAGACATGTATAATTAGCTGATAAATTAGTGCACTTAACCGTCAAATGTATGTTGCATGGCCAGAGCAATGTTGCATTAACGTAGTTGGTTGGCCTCTGGATAATACAGCCTAAGCCTGTATTATTTTATTGTAATTTCAAACATTTATTCACGCGCAACTCATATTCTGAGTAAGAGGTAAGTATTTTGAGTAGGAGCTATCCTTTAACAGGTCGTGTGTGGACTAAAATGGTGCGAGAGATGCAGCAGGCCTATTTGGAGTGCCGCTGTCCACTGTAATGAGTTCGATCACGGCGCTACTAAATATTACCCAACATTTCTAGTCATTTCTCGTCGGAAAGATATCCATGTTGTGGACTGCTCAGACTTACAGTTCTTTGGTTAAAGTGTTCAACAGGGCTTCGTTATGTAGGCTACTTTCAGCATAGTCGACATGGGCGCTGTCCATAGTGCTGTAGTGCTGAAATTTCCATAGCCTGCTCGTTCGCCCATCTATCCCATCACATTTTTGTCTTGTTTTATTACTTTCATCTTTCTTAAGTTAATGATATTGACCCTGAGCTTGGGTGAAATGCCCAACAGGCCTCCCCTTAGGACCGCAGGGCCCGGAATTTTACATTATGTACAGCTACAGTTTTACAGCACCCCGCTTTGGCGTCACTTCACATTTCAAGCACTTTCCATTAATACAAAAGTGTGTTTATCCAGATACATTATTTATATTAAACCTAGGAATATCATGGAATCATATCCAGTTTTAACTTGCATTTTCTTCCTCACACTATTTCACTATGATATCACAAGTGCCAGTTTGGCTAGACGGCTTGGCGCGTGTTGACATGTAGACATATCCGTCCTAATCACGGAGAGGGCGGCTCGCCTGCATAACCTACTTTTCACAGCAATTATTGTTGGTGTGTGAGCAAGGCGATCGAGCAATGATACCCAACAGGGCTGCCTGCCTAAACCGCCTGACCCTCGCCTCCTCGCGCCTACTGACTGACAGTTCTCAGCTCGTCTCGGAGAGCAGGAGAGAGCAAGAGCATAGAGCGCCGGGGTTGGCGTTATTATTATTGTGGTTGGAGCATGAATATTTCAACATGCGTGGAACCGTGGCAGCGGCGACAGGCAGCCAGACTGAGAGAAACACAAATTGGTTTTCCTAACAGATCAATTTTGTGCCACAGCACATCCGATGATGCAAGCCAAGGCTGCCAGACACGCCTTCCCGCCCTCAGCCATTTCCGAAATGTGGGGATTTCATTTTATAGGTTGTATAATTCACCAGCAGAATTAATTGTGTGATTAAATTGGGAATAAAAATGATATTTTCATATAGAAAACTTTTTATCCATTTTGCAAATACAAGGAAATATATTTGGTCATATACATATAAATTCATGTTTAACTAAAATAGTACGTGAAGGGTGATGATTATATCGAAAGAAAAGCAATGAATAGGTGGTAGCCTAGGCTACTGTAAATTACTCATCGATGTTTAGGCCGAGCATGACGTCATGGAGAGGCTCAATTTAGCAAGCTCATTTTGTACATAACATAGGCCTGTCTTCAACATTTATTAGGCTACGAGTGACATAAAATGTGCAATAATACATATAATTTACAGTGCCCTCTGTGTTATAATTTCATATTTAATAAAGCCTAAATATGTATCATTATCACCAAAATGGCATTTGGTTTCATATTCTACATGGCTATTAGGTTCTGATATAGGCTATAGGGCTATAATGTAATGTAATTTATTTAGATTGGTTTATTAAAAGATGATTGTGAGATATAGAGTCGCCTTCCAGTTGTGGATATGGCGGCTACGGGTGGTGTAACAGCCCTGCGCGCTGGAATAAACCATTCTCTCCTATTTCTGTGAGTAGAGAGGGAGAGGGAGGTGGAGGAAGAGAGCAGCGAGGGGGAGGGGTGTTGAGAGGAGGAGAGTGTAACGCGAGGATGGTAGTACCACGGGGTCTGCTGAGAGCCATGTTGGATATGAATGAAAGGGAGAGATGCTGCACCCCTGACGCCGACAGCCCGAGTTCTACCGAACACAGCGAGTAAATGACAACTTCCCGGGCCCAAGGAGAAACGGGGGAGCGCGGGGGAAGGTGTCGGCTGGTGCCGCTGGAGCTGGCGACCTAGCCGGCGACGGAAGAGAGGAAGAGACACACTCGAAGATAGAGAGCGAGGGAGAGAGAAAGAGAGAGGGGTGAGAGGGAGAAAGGGGGAGAGGAGAAAGGATCTTACCAGACTAATGGCTGCACTGCTACTGGGTTCCTGCCTGCTCTCGCCACTTCTTCTCCACCTGCTCCTCAGCCTTTTGTTAGCAGTTATCCCGGGGAAGGCAGCAGGGCCCAGCCGCTGGAGCGCGGGACACTGCCCTGAGACACCTAGCCATCCCGGGGAAGCTGGGCTCTTGACGAGCAACAGTCGCTCGGTGATTCGCCCCAGGTGGACGTTACAGCGGCTCCCATCGGGACCAGAATGCCCGGTGTGGAGTCCTTTTATATGGCACGGGGCGCACGGAGACCCTTTTGGACCCTTGTGCATGGAAGAAGGGGAGGCGACAGGGCCGTGGAATGGAGACAGGCATCCCCACCCTGCAGGTAGGAGCAGGGGCAGCAGTGGGAAGAGGGGCGTTGTTTCACCAGTTTTCTCTTCCCCGGTTCAAAATGGCAAAATGCGGTTTGTACAAAGGACTAGAGTGTGCGCGCGGTTACCACCGTGTCTGCTGCTCTCCAAATCCGACACCAGGAGAGTCTTTGTGCGCGGCCACCACCGGGGACCTGAGAGCGAGGCGTTGGAGATGGCTAGGGACGTGAGAGGGGCTTCTGAAAGGTGTAGAAGGATTCTCTACCGGCCACTTCCCCCAACACAGCACATATATACAGCTAAGCAACCACCTGGACAGCTGACATGGGGCCCTCACTCTCATTTGGGCGATAATGCTTTGAACTCCAGCGAGGTGGACACCGGGGATTGTTCTCATTTGGGCAGTCACAATGCTATTGATCTCACAAGCAATGGTTGCAATCGTTGGTTGACTATGGCCATTGGGAGAACGGGGAGGAGCGGAGCGCAAGGGCCCTACACATGCTATCTCACCTCAGCGGTCGCAGGCAGCGCTGCCAGATGTTACCAGTCGCCCGGGATTACTGAAGGGCGGTTGGCCCTCACAGGTTGTTGCTGCAGGCGTATCCGAGACAGGCTCCGCGCCAGCCACTGTCCTGGGGATGCCATGGGTGTGGGCCAGAGGATGGACGGAGAGAAGGCACAAGGCAACAAACACGTAAACGCAAATGATCAGGATGATGATTTTGCCTCTGTTTATCTAACAACCAAGCCTAAGGTGCGGGCTGCTCCTCCACATAAATTAGGCCGAGAACAGACCTCTCAATCCCGTGTAGAGAGCAAGGGGTTACCCTGGGGGTCTCTCCCCGGAAAGAGGTGTTGTGGCTTGAAGCAAATGGATGTGGGGGGAGGACATTCAGCCAACGTTATTGGACCTAGGGGGAGCATAGTAGGGAGTAATGTTGACATCCAATTTTCCCCCACCACAAATATTACGGATAGTCTCTGTTTTCTATCTAACGGTAGGCCTACCGCTAATGAAGACATAAATTCACTTAGCTCTACGAACTTGTTTTCCTTATTCCATGACGATATACAGGCATCAGAATTGGCTGCTCGAGCCACTAATCCTCACCCTCAGTCTGAGCCAGCTCACAGTGAGTCAGCTCTCGTCACGCCTGTAATGTCTTCCATCACCGCTCTCACTATATCAGCCTCCGCACACGCCCGCGCAATTAAGTCTGGTGTTACTCACAGGGATATCTTTACCACAAACCCTTTCTCATTCTCCATCGAGCTCAACCTGACTAAACGGGATGATGACTCAGACTCACATTCCCGGCTACGAGCTAGCCCCCACCACACTAGCCATTCCCAGAACATGGGTTCAGCACCACAGGCACTGTGGACAGCTCCCATGAAAACCTCTACACAGGATTCCCCAACTAAACACGCAGATTCGGCTCACCACTTTCAGACATTCTTTTTCGGGAGTGTTCACAACGTCAATAATAATAACAACATCAGAAATGACAACCAGAACCACAACAACAATAGCAACAAGGAGAACAAAGAGGAGAATGTTCTAACGAAAGACGAAAGTAATGATGCCGATAGTAGACAGGTGTCGGCGGATCTGAGTGGACCGTGCTCACAGACACAGCAGGGGTCGTTCCCGGAAGAGTGCCTCCACGCTGCGTGTGTTGACAGCAGCTCTGGCGACAGCTTAACCACTGTACAGGGGGGCACGCGCACGCAATTAAAATCCAGTAAACTGCTGCCATTACAACAAGAAGGTGTCAGTCTGCGAGAGAGGCATATGGGGGTCGAGGTTGAGGAGGGGTCTGGGGGAGGCGAATTACAGGTGGGGGAGGGGGAGAGACAGGCCAGAGAGGCGTGGAAGAAGGAAGTGGAGGAGTGGGAGTCAGAAGGAATAACAAAGAGAACCACAGCCCAAACAGATGCAACTGTAGAGGCAGAGGGAGAGGGAGGAAAGGGTCAGGAGAGGGCCAGCCACACACAGGCACAGAGTGGAGCAGGGGGAGGTGGGGGGAACAAAGAGTGGCAGGGGGATGAAAGCACACAGGGAGAGTGGGAAGAAGAGGAGGAAAGGCACAGTTCCAGGGGAGAGAGAAGCCTGGAACGGCAGATAGTGGAAGATAGAGGTGAGGAGGACAGAGAGAAAGAGGTTTTGGTGGTGGGACGCGCTCGCCGTGCTGCCAACAGACACCCTCACTTCTCCCTGTATAACTTCCAGGTGCAGGTACCAGAGAACCAGCCCCCAGGCACCTCAGTCATTTCCATTTCAGCCACAGACCCAGACTCAGGTGACGCAGGCAGGCTCAGCTACACAATGGCCCCTCTCATGAACAGCAGATCCACTGACTACTTCCACATTGACCCCGACACAGGCCTCATCACCACCTCCCAGGTGCTGGACAGGGAGCACATGGACCTGCATTACTTCCGGGTCACAGCGTTAGACCACGGCTCTCCACGCCTCTCTGGCACCACCATGGTGGCCATCACCGTGGCCGACCGCAACGACCACTCGCCCATCTTTGAGCATACAGAGTACCGGGAAACCATCCGGGAGAATGTGGAAGAGGGTTACCCCATCCTGCAACTCCGAGCCACTGACCTGGACGCCCCGTCCAACGCCAACATCCGCTACCGCTTCATAGGAGACACCGCAGCCGCCGCCCGTGCCGCTTTCGAGATCGACCCCCGCTCAGGGCTGATCACTACGCGGGGGGCAGTCGACCGGGAGACCAACGAGCGCTACACCCTCAACGTGGAGGCCAGTGACCAGGGAAAGGAGCCCGGGCCACGCTCAGCCACCGTTACGGTCTTCATCGCGGTGCTGGACGAGAACGACAACGTTCCCCAGTTCAGCGAGAAGCGCTATGTGGTGGCGGTGAGGGAGGACGTCCGGCCCCACTCAGAGATCTTGAGGGTAAGTGCTACGGACTATGATAAGGATAGCAACGCGGCCGTCCACTACAACATCATCAGTGGGAACAGCCGGGGCCAGTTCAACATCGACAGTGTGACAGGGGAGATCCAGGTAGTTGCCCCTCTGGACTTTGAGGCAGAGAGGGAGTACACTCTGAGGGTCCGGGCCCAGGACAACGGCCGGCCGCCTCTCTCCAACAATACGGGTATCATCAGCGTGCAGGTGACCGACGTCAACGACAACCCTCCCATCTTCGTGTCTACGCCGTTCCAGGCGTCAGTGCTGGAAAGCGCCCCCGTGGGCAGCTCCATCCTCCACATCCAGGCCATCGACACCGACTCTGGGGACAACGCCCGTCTGGAGTACAGGCTGACTGGCACCAGCCCTGACACGCCCTTCGCCATCAACTCTGCCACCGGCTGGGTGACGGTCAGCTCGGCTCTGGACCGGGAGTCTGTGGAACACTACTTCTTTGGGGTGGATGCCAGAGACTATGGCATCCCACCTCTCTCCGCCACAGCCAGTGTGACCATAACAGTGATGGATGTCAATGACAACAGGCCAGAGTTCCTGCAGAAAGAGTACTTTGTGAGGCTCAACGAGGACGCAGCCGTGGGCACCAGTGTGGTCGTTGTGACCGCAGTCGACCGTGATGTCAACAGTGCAGTCACCTATCAGATCACGGGGGGCAACACACGTAACCGCTTTGCTATAAGCACAGCCGGGGGGACGGGGATGCTCTCTCTAGCGCTGCCACTCGACTACAAACAGGAGCGTCGCTACGTTCTGACCGTGACCGCCTCAGACCGCACACTATACGACACGTGCCAGGTCCACGTCAACATCACGGACGCCAACACGCACCGGCCCGTGTTCCAGAGCGCTCACTACTCGGTGACTGTGAACGAGGACCGGCCACCGGGCAGCACGGTCGTGGTCATCAGCGCCACGGATGATGACGTCGGCGAGAACGCTCGCATCACCTACTTCCTGGAGGACAACATCCCCCAGTTCCGCATCGACCCGTCCAGCGGAGCCATCACCCTGCAGGCCGAGCTGGACTATGAGGACCAGATGACCTACACTCTGGCCATCACCGCCCGGGACAATGGCATCCCACAGAAGTCTGACACCACCTACGTAGAGGTGAATGTGAATGATGTGAATGACAATGCACCACAGTTCCTCAGCCCCAGGTACCAGGGCACCGTTAGTGAAGACGCCCCACCTTTCACTAGCGTCCTACAGATATCCGCCATGGACCGAGATGCACACGCCAATGGCCGCGTCCAGTACACCTTCCAGAATGGGGAGGACGGTGATGGAGACTTCACCATCGAGCCCACATCTGGCATTGTACGCACGGTCCGTCGTCTGGATCGCGAGAGCGTTCCCTTCTATGAGCTGACGGCGTATGCTGTGGACCGTGGTGTGCCTCCACAGCGGACGCCCGTCCACATCCAGGTGACGGTTCTCGACATCAACGACAACGCACCCGTGTTCCCGGCGGACGACTTTGAGGTTCTAGTGAAGGAGAACAGCGCTGTGGGGTCAGTGGTGGCCCAGATTACAGCCACAGACCCAGACGAGGGGGCCAACGCCCAGATAATGTACCAGATCGTAGAAGGCAACATTCCTGAGATCTTCCAGATGGACATCTTCTCTGGGGAGCTCACCTCTCTCATCGACCTGGACTACGAGGCCCGCTCAGAGTACGTGATCGTGGTCCAGTCCACCTCAGCCCCCCTGGTGAGCCGGGCCACGGTGCGCATCCGGCTGGTGGACCAGAACGACAACCGGCCCCAGCTCAAGGACTTCCAGATTATATTCAACAACTTTGTGTCGAACCGTTCCAACAGTTTCCCCAGCGGGGTGATCGGACTGGTGCCGGCCCACGACCCGGATGTCAGCGACCGCCTCTACTACACCATCGACCGGGGCAACGAGCTGCACCTGCTGCTGCTCAACCACAGCAGCGGGGAGATCCGGCTGAGCCGCAAGCTGGACAACAACAGAGCCTTGGTGGCCCCCATGCTCATCACTGTCACAGGTGAGACGGGACAGAGAGATTTGTGTGTGAAAGAGAGGGTGTTGGTTTGTGTGTGTGTGTGGGAGATAAAGAGTGTGGGGGATGGGCTGGTCAGAAAATGTGAATGACTGAGCGCTAAAGGGGCATTTAAAATACTTAGGCATGATTAATGTATTTGTGTTGAGATAAATGAAAGAGGCGATATGTGGCATGGTATGATAAACTGCCTGGTAACGATGGTTTATGATTTATTTTACTGAACAACAGTCATGCATTTCTAGTTTGTTAATAAAGAGGTTTTATATGGTCAGTGTTTTTTATGTGAGCTGGCCTATTTACAAAGCTTTTATTCCAATTGCATTGTGGGTGCCTAATGCATATTTGTGTGTGATTTTGAATGAGAGTGTGTGTTTGTTTGTCTATCTGTGTTTGTTTGTCTGTGTATGTGTGCGTGATCGTATGTTCATGTGTGTGTTTGTGCATCTCCCTCTCTACCTGTCCCTTTCAATGTTCCCTCTGCAGTAGGAGTCTCTGTTCATCCTTTCCCTCCCTCCATCTCGCCCTCCCTCCGTCTCTCCCACACTCAGCCTTTCTCAGCCTCTCTCTGCCCACTCCTCTCCTCCAGGGCAGGAGTGTTATGAGATTATAATGAAATACAGTCAGTCTGAGAGCAAGTCTGTCAGATTCATTGTGTGTGCTGCTGTCTGTGTCTGCCTGCCTGGCTCCCCCTCTCCTCTCTTCTCCCCTCCCTTCACATTCTCTCTCTCTCTCGCTCTCTCTCTCTCTCTCTCTCTCTCTCTCTCTCTTTCTCTCTCTCTCTCTCTCTCTCTCTCTCTCTCTCTCTCTCTCTCTCTCTCTCTCTCTCTCTCTCTCTCTCTCTCTCTCTCTCTCTCTCTCTCTCTCTCTCTCTCTCTCTCTCTCTCTCTCTCTCTCTCTCTATCTCTACCTCTCTCTCACTCTCTCTTGCTTGGCTTTGAGTCGTGCTCTTGTCTAAGACTAGAGAGTGGGGAGATTAAGATGTAATATAGCCAGTCGGTCTAAGATCCCAACAGGACAGCAGGACAGCAGGCATGTACTCATCTGATATCTGTCTCTGTCCATCTGTCTGTCTTCTTCCCCTGGGACACCAACACACACCACCACCACTTCCCCTCTTTTATGTGTGTGTGTGTGAGAGAGTCAGTGTGCTTGCATGTGTATCTGTGTTTGTGTTTGTCTATACAGTACATATGGGTGTAGACAGAGAGATTTAAACATGAAAGGCAAATAATAGAGATTTGATTTGCGCTTTCTATAAAATGTGTGTTGTACATGTTTACCGTCCAACATACTGTATATAAATGTGTTCTTGACTGGTCATGCAAGGGATGGCCAGAGAGTTTGACACAGTTTACAGTGTCCGTAAAGAGATCCTTCTCTTTCTGCTCCAGCTGTA